CTCTCTGCCTCCCAGCTCCACCTCCTGGCTCTGCTTTTAAGCTCCATGCTCTGCCTCTTCCAGTTCCTCCCCCTGGCTCTGCTTCCCAGCTCCAACTCCTGGTTATGTCTGCTGACTTCAACCCTCAGCTAAGGTATCCCAATAAACATATGAGGACAGTAAGAAGGGAACGCCGATGGGGACAAGCAGTGCAAGGGTGCACGCCGATGGGGACAAGCAGTGCAAGGGTGCACGCCGATGGGGACAAGCAGTGTATGGGGAAACTTTGATGGGGACAACTAATTATTATTTGGCCCCATTAGAGTCCCCCCCAATACATTGGTTGCCACCATCAGTGTGCCCCCTTGCAGTAAATGTAAGGTGGCACACTGAGGGGGACAGCCAATGTAAGGCGGCACTCTGACAGGAAGAACTAATGATTAGTTGTCCCCACTGGAATGTCCACTTACAATTGTTGCCCCCATTAGATTAAATGTAAATATAAAAGGGGCACTCTGATGGGGACAAGCAATGTGAGGGGGCACTCTGATGGGGACAAGCAATGTGAGGGGGCACTCTGATGGATACTGTACTTTTTTCAGTGAAGCCAGCCATGATGTGATACAACCACATCACCCTGCGCTGTGCCCATATAACTTCATTGAAATTTCATAAGTGACATTTTAATAAGTTCTAACAAAAAGAATTGTGATGCGCCCGGTCAATGCATCAGCACTCTGTCCGGGAGAACAAACCAGCAGCTGTGCATTGCAGTGCAGCTGCTGGTGAGAATGCAGCATAAATGGCGGACCACGTTGCAGAAATGGACTGAGTGGCTGTTCTGTCCGGACCTTGATTCCAACCTCAGATCAATGAAAATTTTGCTCACTGGACCTCCTTGAATTTCAATTTACTACCCCTGGTTTATACCAGTGTTTTGTTATATCTGTTCAATAAAAGCAAAAAATGCCTGTTGATTTTGGTAGAATCCTTGTGAGCTGATAACTACCTGTGGTCTCTGTGCCTGTGCTGTTGTGGGTTAGCATTGTTCCCAGCCTCTGTGAAGCACACAACACCTGGAGAACAGGAGAGGGGAAGGTGAGTTACTGGAAGCATCACCTGGGAAAAATAAAGGAAAAAGCCTGAAAAAAAGAAACAAAGCAGGCACCACCTACAAGGGCATGTGCAATTTTTGTTCTTGGGTTTAGGTGCAATTTAAAGCTGAACTCCAGCTATAGAAATATATTTACCTACATTGGTCCAGCTTGGCCCAATATAAGTATAAAAAAATATCCCTGGCAGGTCCATGAGGAACCTGTAGAAACTGCAGTGTCTTATACCGATTTTCTGTGTCCAGGAACAGCCAATGTGCTGAGCGACTTCCCCTCCGCTGGTACAACACAACAGGTCACTTTCTTGGCACAGAAGCCATTCAGCAAACACCTAGTATTTTCCTTCGTGGACACTAGACGTTCTGTGATTTGACATGTTGCGGTGCTGCCATGTCACCGTCCCTCATCCAACGCAGGTTCGGACAGAGAAAGGTTCCTTATCTTCTGAAAATGTTTAATTGCTCCTACGCTGACCCACTTGCATGGATACTTGCAAAGCCACTGACCAAAAACAAATACGCAGATAAAGGAAAATCAGAGAAAAGTCAGAAATCATGCATACTTATAGTTGCATGACAAAATATTAAAGCTTCCGAGTCAGCATGACAAACAGACAACCAGCATTTTTAGAGGATGCCAAAAGCAGCCTTTATAAATTTTGAATATCTCCAGGCACAAAAACATTCATTTAAATATGTTCCCCAATGCTCACAGAGCATATACAGTAAATCGACTTTGTGTGCACTAAATGCCTTTGCAAACCCAGTTATTGCCACGTATAGGTATTGCCGATATAATCATCAGCATCATGTGCTGCACCTAGCCTGTGCAGAGAATAGAGCGTTGGGAGGAAGATACCTGCGGGGAAAAAAACTCGCTTCCCTAGGAGCCATATTGATAAAGTCAGAGCCTGAGAACGAATATGAAATATTGGTCCTGATATTAAAGATTTAGCCAAAGTAGTTTAGGAGACATTGAGGATAAGAGAAATTATCTCTGACTACCAAGCCCTTCTTAGCTAGTCTAGAGTCACCAGGATGGTAGAAATTATTTCTTGATCCTCCTTGGAAGGTGTGGAAGAAGCTTGAATGAAGGAAAGGACATAAACTAGGAAGTACATAGTCCACAGTGAGGCCTAGCATCCACTAGGAGATACCTGGATATGACTATAAATTTTGTTGGAATGGTATCATGTCCATGCACAGGAGACAGTTAAAGCAGTGGTTTTAGTTCCACTTTAAGCACAAAAGGAAAAGAGTGCATATTGGTGCAGCTAGCCACAGTTAGCCCTAAACAGTTCACCAACTCTGGAAATGGATGCATGTAGCTATAAGGACTTGTAGGTAAGGCAAACAGGTTTCGTCTGAGTGCTGTTACATTGCAATCACTGTACACAAGGTCTATTTACAACCATATATGGTTTTATTTATTTAAAAGGAGAGTTCCCCTTTAAAGAGGAAGCAGCTATGTTTGAAGAGGTTGCTGAATGGGCTTTTCTAAGGGCCTGTTCACACGACGTCCGTTTTGTGTGCTGGCCGGCTCTGTACGCTGCTGCAATCAAAATGCATCCCAATGTGTTTTATGGGCTCCAGTTCTCACGTGCGCAGTCCGTTCAGCTTATGACAGAAAAAATACTGCATGTCACATTTTGTCCGGTCCGGAAACGGTCAGGAAACGCAAACGCGGCAAAAACGCACTGCACTGCAGCTAACATACTAACAGCCCCACTCCAGCAAAACAAATCTTTTTTAACTGGAACGCATCAAAAATGCACTGCATCAGTCTGTAGATCCGCACCTGATCAGGACCTGATATCATGTGAACAGGCCCTTAGAATTGATGGCCCCTACACCTATGGAGTGTATGTAATATAGTAGTGTGCACAGTAACCCATAGCATATGAGAATGTATCTTTTTCTGTAAACTGAAGTCTAACTAGTTACTACACATTGTCTTGTCAAGTAAGTCTCCTTTGGCAGATATTACATTGTAGGTATTCTTCATAGATTCATTATACAGCCTAACAAGAGTCAAATATAGTTAGAGAATAAACAGTGTTTGGTCTGGTTTGGATTCTTTAAGCAATGCCAGCAGTATATAAACATAGATGGTATGTGAGAGTGCATTATGCTGTTGATGAGCAGGATACAGTTACCATCATCAGAGTTGAGGGAGCTACAAAATGTCATTATTTTGCCAATGAGTCCATCTTAAGGCATATAAACATTTTCCATTTATTTGTCAATGATCAGTGTTCCATTTGATGGGATATCATCACCAGACTAGTCAGAGACTGATCCAGTATCTGCTAATCAAGAATAAATAAAATAAAAGTCACAACCTTGTGCTCCTGGGTCTGCTGGTATGCGATTGTTTAAAAGCACATTCAAAGGTCCTGCAGTCCTATAGTGTAAAGGGAAGGTCCAAACCCTGAAGAAAACAGGCACATGGATCCAGGTGTAGTTTAGGGTAAAACCTTTGAGAAAAAAAAACTAGTTGCACCTACAAAAGGGAGTTGAAATCGTCAGCTTGCCAAACGCCTGGAAACAAACTCAACATCTAGCAACTCCCTGTGGCCAGCAGAGGGGCTGTCTAGGGCTCCCCCTCATTCTTTGTGCATTTACATCATATTGTTGCAAGAGATCTGCAGAACGATGGATGGTGATGAAGCAGAGAGAGGCGATCAGGTGTTCTTTGCATTTGATGCCTCGACAAAGGAGCTCCTTCTAAGTGCATTGCCTAGCGACATCAGCTGCCACCCTGTAACTTAGAAGAACCCTTCTGCCTAGAGATAAGGAGACAGGACATGGATACCAATCTTTACTACTCGGTTTACTTTAGTTTTACCCTAAACTACACTTAGGTCAAATTGCATTGTTCTTTGCTTCTGTTTTATCTGGAATCTGATGCACATAAAATCTAGTTTAAAGCTGAATTTAAATCTGCTTATACGTTGTCTCCCTTCCCGTGCCAGTACCGTCTGTACGTCATTTTCTAATGGTGGTGTGCCTCGTGATTTTTTTCATGAAAAAAGTGTGCCTTTGCACAAAAAAGGTTGAAAAACACTGCTCTAAAGAGTCCTTACTACTGATGAAAACAGTGGGTTGGTTCTTTGGAAGAGTTTTTCAAATATCAAAATGCCTTGATGGATGATGTCAGTCTGGAGGAGTGGGCATTCCTAGGCACATTGTATTTGCATGCAGTCGGCCCTAGGCAGTACCACATGTAATGCTGAGCCTCCATGACTGAAAGAACGGAAATCCAATGAATAAAAAGGAGTAGGCCAGGGACAGCAAGGCTGGGGAAGAAATTGCTAGAAGATGCTGGCTGTCCCCCAGCCAATAAATTAGATGGGCTTTATCTGACTTGCTGTAACTTCTAATGTACACTGGGAGAAGCTCACAGCACACAATGAAGTCAGGGTAAGCAATTTCAGGGGCACCTGTACAACTGTGAAAGACTAAAGATAAGGCTAGAGATCAGCTTTATTTAATGTTAGGTCCTATCATAAAATCAATACATGTGGCAAAAAGAAGGTGAACCTGTGAACCCAGATTTAAGCTAAGATAAGGTAAGATCTGCGAAGGACTTCCATTTTCTTTTCCCACATTTTCTACTCCAATGCTTCAAGAGGATGTGTAATTTACCTACACTACACCCACTCCACATTCCTACATAGAACAAAAACAATGTCTTCATTTCAGGCTTCAAAGCAACAAAATGTGATTATTGTAAAGGGGGTGACTCTTTTCTTTAAGCACTGTAAATGTGCCTGCAAAGTAAGGGCCCAAGAAAGCACTGATGGGCAGAATAAACTTTAACTACATGTGGGCCTAAAGGTGTACACTTAAAAAATATAATCCAGTTACTTAGAAGAATTTTCCACAGAGCTTTTTCTGAAATCATTTAAGTTTAAAGACTTTTAATTCCAATTTAAAACTTGCAACATAGATATAAGACATAAATAAAACTGGAAACAAAGCAGTGTGCGCTAACAAAGCGAGTTCAAATTCAATGATCTATGTTTTTTTGTGAAAATCTAACAGATGAAATTATAAATAAGGTCTTCTCTTGTGAACCTTCTGGTGAGGTTTAAGATCCAAACATAATCCACGGTGTAAAGGAAAAGGTCCCATGCTTTCTAAAGTCTATGGAGATATGGCATGCTATTCCTCACACCTCAGCAGCAGGATTTAGCTATTGCCATGTGCTGGTCTTTGGCAAATAGATTGCCTTGGTTTGCGAGAACAACAGTCCAACTGAAATGTCAGGAGGTGGCCAATAATCCATGTCTGTTTGTCAGGATCTCCAATGTAGGGCTCAGAGCACTAATAAAAACAGCAAACAAAAATGCATAAGATATATGTGGAAATCTGAAAAGGTATTAATGCTTTATAACAGGGATTAACTATTGCTCTCCCTCTTTGAGCGTAGCAAAAGGTAAACTGATTTAGCAACCATTTGCTATGCGATGTCTCACTCACTCTTCGAAAACAGCTAAAATACCCTTCTAACATAGATTTGTCCAAACCATGCATGCTTTTTATATACCATATATCAGTCAGAATCATAAGGAGTGAGAATAATATACCTGTATAATCTTTAAATTAGGAGGCTTTAAAGCAGTCCTATTCTCCAAATATAATGGGGGGGGAAACGTATCAAACCTGGATCAGACAGAATCTAAAGCAGATGCCCATAGCAACCAATCGGCTTCTCTTGTCAGTTGGTTCAGTTGAGCTTTGAAAATTAAAGATAAAAGTGGACAACTGCTCCAGATTTGATCAATTCCCCTCAATGTTCCTTTAGAAAAAAAAAAACTCAATAAGTGATGTTCAAGGTAGAGACAGCCAATACAAACCTACCTAACTCATGGAACTGCTATTCTTTGCACTTCAAGTTCACATGACCATTTCTGTGGCACCAATCATGGGGTTTCTATCAAAAGGGCTTTGGAGAACAGACCCCGTGTCAATTTTGTAATTTCGGCTCTGGGGACAACTCACCAGTTACAGAACACTATGCAAGACAGAGCAAAGAAATACTCACCTCTTAACAAGTTGCTTTCTTGCTGGTTGAATGAGCATGGTGCTATTGTGAAGCAACATTCTGCAGAATGTCTGTCAGGTAGGGAAATACACCTTGCCTATCTGACCAGTGACAGTGCAGCATGTTTTTAGCAATTCTGTAGCTGGTGTGTTGTCTCCATTGACAAAATCACAAGTGCAACATGGGTCTAAGACTGATGCAAGGTCAGTAGCTGTGCCTGAACAAAAATCCTTACCTTCACTAAAAAACCATGTGACCAATGCTATGCATAGAACAGATGACTCCTCCATGAAGCTCAGCTGATCCAAAACAGCAAGATAGACATGCATTATCTTTGCCAATTAGGGAAAGTGAAACTTTATTTGTGTGCGACCCTAACCTAACAAAGTGAAGGTGTGTAAGCAAGGAAAAGACAAAATAAATATAATTTGCAATAAAGTGCATTGATCACATGGCCACTCAAAGCAAAATGACTCCACAGCTGTAAACCAAGGACTAATTTGGCGATATAACTTAAAGCCCCAAAACTTTCTGTTTAAGTCGGCTAAATACATTCTAGGTGCATCAAAACAAAAACAAATTAAAACATAGCCATAGACTGAGTAGAAAAGCCTGTCCCTGCCACCATGCTGCAGAGCAAGACCCTTGCTCTTGGTGGGACCAGAGCTATGCCGGACATCTACATAAAGACCACTGCTTCCACATAGACAGCAAGTATCCCACTCTGCAGCTGCTGGCAGGGCACATGCCTTTCTTCTCAGGGTGTGGCTGCTTAGAAAGATAAGGAACTGTGAGACGTTGAACACCTATTGTTTTGATGCATCTGGAATACATTAAGCTGATTTTAACTGAAGGTTTAATTGTACGTTAAAGGATCAGTCAAGGCAGCAGCTAGGGACTTCAAAGATATGATGTGTTATTGGAGGGTTTCTGCCATGTAACTGGGGAGATATTCTGCTTTGTCTGTTGTATAGATGTATATATTATATATAGGTCTAGAAGACAATCAATGAGCTTACCACCCAGGTCGGATTACTGTAAACTTCCCAGGTATAGATAAGTCAACCACTGTTGATCCCAACCGACACTCTGGACTCTCCAAGTCTCCAATAGGTCCTCCATCAACTACTAGAGACAACATAGGCCACAGATCTTTAAACTCCTAGCAACAATAAAAGAAATCACCATCAATTAATGTATTCAAATTAGGGATGCACCGATACTTTGAGTACCAATGCCAATACTTGGCATTTTCAGGAGAACTACCAGGGTTGCAGCTGGGACCTGGCTCTGGCGCTCCACCACTGTCCTGAAATCATTAGTCGATATTGTTTTAGAAAAACTGTCACATGACAACAAAAATGTATCAGTACTCGTAAGTACTTGGGCAAATATCAGTATTTGTACTCGCAAAACTGGTATCGGTGCATCCCTTTATTTATAACAACAAAATCATACATTAAAACAGAGATGTACAAATCCCAGGAGCTCCGTATGCTCCTTACAAATGACAGCTGCCTCTTAACTTTTTAATTTTTCTCTGGTCTAGTCTTGGAGCTCGAAAAGTATCTGCACTTGTACCGAGTACTGTACTTGGTATCGGTGCATCCCTAATTAAAATTATTTTATGTAATATATAAAACATAAGGAATAAATGTAGTTCACCCAAGAGCATTTGTAGGAGCATAACTGGTCATTACTTTCTCTTAGTTGGTCTTTTTAGAAGAGGAGTGTTAAAAAAGACAGTTAAAGGGCATGTTCAATTAAAAACAATAGTTTAGAAAATAGTGTATTTAGTGTGAATGCTATAAAGCATCCCTTACTGTTCTATAGTGTTGATTCAAACGCACAAGCAAACCAGATTAAAATGTTGGCTCTGAGACAGAAAAGCCGGGATGCTATAGCAAAATAAATGATGAAATGTGCGCCAGTAAGCCTTGTGCACAATTTCATCTTTTATCTCACTATAGATTCATGTAATTTGCATCATATAGAATACCTTACAATTTGGTAGTTTTGGCACTTGTGCATTGATTCAAAGTACAAGGTGGATTAAAACTTTCAAATGACTCTTTTGCCATTTCAAAAAAAATTAGATGCCAAGTGCACTTATCCTTTTTGCCCCCTCCCCTAATAGGTCCAACTCTCACCCTATGCAAATGGAGGCAAGTGCAGCCTTCGGGGATTGTTTACATCCCCTGCCACAAGTCCTCTCTTTTGGCTCTGCCTGTGCAGTAGAACCATATAGACGTCTATGGGGCTCAGCTACCTCCATCTGGGAAAAGACCCCCATAGATTTCTATGGGGCCCTACTGACAAGGCGCAGCCAGGAGAGAGAGAGGACTTTTAGAGTGGGATAGCAACAAACACAGGAGGCAATGGGCATCTTGATAAGTATGTATTTGTGGAGTGGGAGAGTGGGATCTTTTAGGTGAGGAGGACAAAAATAATAAGTGCACATGGTCCGAAAGCTCACCCATTCTTTAAATCAAGCCATCCCTTTAAAGAAAGAAAGCAAGAAATAAAGCAAGAAATACTATCTGTACCACTGTCCACACCACCCATCACAACTTGGCTTTAGTGGTAGTACCTCTACTGTCAATGTGCTCTCCAGCGTACTGATGTTGGCACTTGTCAGTGCCAAAGGCTCCGAGCAGATCTGTGCCAGCTGTCTGATGAATGCATGGTCAGGAATACGAACGCCAACCAACTAAAATAAAATGAACAAATTGGATGTGTCATTTTGCCAAGAGGAAAAAATTCAATCACAAATAATATACTGTGAGTTTCCTGCAATGATACTCACAGAAGTATAAGGATTAAGCTCCTTATTAAGGCCATCTGAGCGTTCCATTACAAGGGTGACTGGTCCTGGTAACAAATCACGAAGCAATTGGTCTGGAACATTAACGTGACAGTACCTGCAAATATCACAAGAAATACTACTGCTATAATGTACAAGTATTTACATAAGCTTCAAATTGCAGCTGCCGCAGCGCTTCTTGAGTGACTTGGTAGCTGGGGCAGACAGTGAAACAGAATCCTGAGGAGACACTTTTCCTGATGACTCCTGCATAGTAAAATAAAAGCAGATAAGTGTACAACCCCCACTGTCACAAAGTATCCCTGGTAAAAGTGTAAACAGGCACAGCCTCACTCACCCCTTTACCTTTGGGGACAGTCACCGCTGGCTTGCCTTCCTCCTCCATCGGGCAGCGTTAGCGGTTTCTTCCCCCACAGACTGTCCTGGTATTCGAGCTCCACAGGTCCAACACACCTCACAGCAGAGAGCGCGCAGCGGAAGTGAGGCAACAAGCCGCGACGGAAGCGAAGAAATCACCCGCGACCGGAAGTGACGACATGCGCCCCAAGTCGAGGCTTGGAACACACCGGAAGTGCCTCTCAGTCCACTGCCCGCTCGATTCACTGCTCCAGCATGCCGGACACCGCTACAGAACCCCACTACCAGCTCCCCTACATCAAGCAGGGGAAAGCAGGACAGGGCCACCGGCCTGGGGGCCTCAGGAGTGGATCCTTTAAGGGAAGAAAGGAACCAGATCCTGGCCTTTCAAACAACATAGGGAAAAACACCCCTCCGCTCTACAGCAAGGCCAGAAGGGAGGGAAAACACCTTCAACAGCAGAGCCGCACAGAGGGGGATCCGTGACCTCAAGACCAACCGGTCAGGAAGAAAAAGAACAAACGTGACGTGGTCCTGGACGATAGGAAACACAATCTAAACTGAGGTACGAGGGGAAGGGGAGGGGCTTTTAACTGTTTTGCTAATTGTGTTTCCTGTAGAAGGTGGAACCAATCATCTCTCAGGTTGCTGTCCTGGAAGATGATTAGGGAAATCAGTCATCTTAACTTGGAGCCAACAATTCTAAAGCTGAATTGTAAGCATATAAGGAAATATTACATAATCCAGTTACATGAACACATGAATCTTGCTATCAGACCTCTTTATCCCTTGAAGAGCAGCAGTGTATGTAAACCCAAATACTGAACTTATCTTATTTGCTCTCTTTTGCTAAAGATACCATTAAAAGGAGAACTATGGGGTCAGGGCTTTTCCCCATAGTTCTCCTAAAGGTAGTGTACAGTAGCTGCATGTGTAATGCTAGTATGTGTTCTCCCGTGACCCAAAGCTCAGTATACCGCGAGCTGTATACTGAGATGCTGCAGCCGGGACGGATCCCGACAATACTGTCTGGATCCACCCAGCTGCGTGAGTGACAGCTGGCTCTGCCTATCCAGAGGCAGTGCCAGCTGTGCCCGCCCCCGTCCGTTTCGCCAGTCAGCGCTGGAGGATCGGACAGGGGGGGGGGGAATCCTGGAGGGAGCCGTGAGTGACAGTCACAGCTCTCTGCAGGGATAGATCGAGAAGTGAGCGAGCGACGTTATGTGTTCAATCACTTCCCAATCTACTGAGCCGACCTGTGACAGTTTAATTGTCACAGGTCGGCTCAGATTATGAGGCTGAGTGAAAATCACTCGCCTCATAGTTCTCCTTTAAGCACATTTTATGATCTTTTTCCAAGAAGTGAGGAAAATACATGTTAATGCAGTGGGAAATCTGGTAAGCCGATCACTCCCTTTGCCATCTCCCTGTTATGCATTTTACCAGCCATCTCAATGGACTACAAGCCATGCCTTTACTTAAATTACACCTAAAGTAACAGATTCTAACAATTTTATTGGCAGCTTATTGATTACTCAATGCCTATCAAATACCAAGATCTATTTGTTAGTAGCAAAAAAGTTTTTATTACTAACTTGTAGATATCCTCAATGTCTCCAACACATATAGCCAAAGGTTTCGTTCCATTTCTTCCTTTTACATTGTAGATGTTACTAATAGACTGAGAGCTCTGTGCCAAGCAAGCAAGGCCATAGATGGTATCAGTAGGTACACCAATGACTCCACTTTGCTGTAGAATACCCGCTGAAGTGTTGAGAATTTCTTTCCAACCTGCAACATATGAAACAACCAAATTTGGAGAAAACCGTTGTTAAGATTGAAGAATCTCACAGTTTTGAAACACAACATAGAAATACATTCTGAATACTGCCCAACTCTACATTTTCTACATGACACCACCTCACTCCATAAACTGCAAGGTACTGTACATTCTCTACTCTTTACTGCCCCTGTCCTTCTCTATATGTTGCACTGTATTTCTCTACTCAGTACCACCAACTCGAAGTTGCATTCATCATAGCAATCCCTCCTGTGTACAGAATGGGCACTCTTAATATTTTCCATAAAAATAGCCAAACAATGGGTAAAAATATACAAGCAAGTTTTAAAGCAGGGGTGCTGGATAAGCAGGGTTGTGAATAAAATCAGGGGCCTGAAGGGGAAAAAAAAAAAAAAAAATTAGCCCTGCTGCTTACCATGGAACAAAGCTGGGGCCTACTAATCATTATATGATCCTGTGTGTGAGGGTACTACCATTAAATGGGCAGACTGCTGACACTTGTAGTGACCTCACACACAGTCAACCTCGGATTGACACAGCGGGACTTAACGGAGCCGCTGAGACCAGAGGTGAAACGTGCGGGCGAGGAGAAACCTGCGGCCCAGGAGGGAGGACAGCTGAATTGCCGCTCCAAGTTTTTCCTGCCTGAGCGCAGCCTAGAGAAAACAAAATTAACCCTGCTTGCCACGGTACAAAGCTCGGGACTGGCGGGCCTAATAAAATGAAACATGGAATCAAAAGTAAACCTAGCCTTTAAAAATACTGACAAAGACTTTCAGTGCTTAAATAACTTATTAACGCTGTTGAAATTTCAGTGCTTACATTTACAAATACTTGCATGCATTTGCTATGATAGGCTAGGACAAAAAAAAAAAAAATGTAACCCTGCTTGCCGCAGTATAAAGATCGGGGCGGGTGGGCCTAATAAAATCCTGTGTAATTGACATGTGATTAAAAGAGAAACTTCACCCACCTGCTTTTTTTTCCCCACCCTCGCCCGTTATGCCTGGATAACAACATACTCACCTGCCCAATGAATGCAGTGTTGCCCTGCTGTGATTAGCAAAAGACAGTCGGCTCCCAACGACATCAGAGAAGTAGAAAACGACGCAAGACCTGGTCTATGGTAGTGGATCACACTACCATAGACAGGGCTTGAAAAACCCACTTGTCCGTCTCGAGAGGACGGCGGAGCCGTTTAACATTCAAGTGATCGTTGCCGGTCCCGAGATCCGCTGTGCTCAAACCGCCACGGCTCTGTGACAGGAGATCAAAGAGAGGTCAGTACACAATCTCCCTCTAATCTCCTCTTCAGTCCCGGAATGCAGGAAGTGATGTATATTACATCACTTCCTGCATTCAGTGTCACTTTCCAGCTACAGTAGCTGATAAAGCAGATCTCTGCTTCATCAGCTTCTCTGGGGCTCCCTAGGTGACATTAGGGGTCTTGGAGACCCCTGATGTCTCCATAAAGAGGACTTGTCATGTAAATTGGCTATCACATAGGGGGCTTCTTATCCCCCCCATGTGATAGCAATAAAATTGTGTAAAAAAAAAATAAAATACAAAAATTAAAGAATCATTAAAAAAATTAAGCATTAAAAATTTAAAAAAAAATGTTTTTAAGTCCTCCGCCCCCCACATACACATGCAGATATGCATCAGGTGCGCCTACATTTGAAAACAACGATTGCGCCTATTGTGCCACACATGTTACATATAACCGCGAACGTTGGGAGTGCGAGCAACAATTTTAGGGGCATTATCACTAATAACACTAAACTGATGAGCGGTAAAAGCGTTTTAATCGTCGCCTACGGCCAATTTTCAGTGTGGTCGTTTTTTTGCGATTTTGCGGGGGCACGCAATTTTAAGGCTTGACATGTTTGGTGTTTATTTACCCGACGTGACACCGTCTTTTATATTTTGCAATATGGGTAAGAATAGATGTTTTATAACATAACGTAGGGAAAACTTGTTTTTTTACATTTACGGTACTTTTTTCATGATATAGATATTCCTCGCTTTCCGACTTAACTGATTTGCGACCACTCGCACTTACGACCTGCCTCCGACCTTGCGTGTCAGTGCGACGTGTCGCCGGCGGAAGTGATGTCCTCCGTTCTTCACTGCGGGTCCCAGTAAGTATTTTATTGCCCGATGTACAGTACACTGTACTAATGCAGTACAGTACTGTATAGAGTTCCTCGCTTAACGACCAATTCGTTTAAGAACCTGGTCGTAGCAACGGAACTCGGTCGTTAAGTGAGGAATACCTGTATACTAAAAAATAACCCCCCCCCCCCCAGTGGTGATTTTATATACCACCAAAAGAAAGCTCTAGCTCTCCCCCAAAAATTTTAACATAAATTGCAAGGCTTTAGTCCGGTCATGCTGACTGGTGAAATTTTTGACTCACTGGTGAGACACCCTAAAAATTTTCAAGCCCTGACCATAGACCAGGTCCTACACCGCTACCTTCTTCTCTGATGTCGTTCCCCCCTCCCCCGGCCAACTGTGTCCATGCGCCAGAAGCCTGCTAGCATATTCCTCCAGTACTGACAGGAGGGACAGACAGGGGAGGGGGTGGACACAGCTGGCTCTGGCTAGCTGCCAATCAAGTGGGTGGATGCCACTATTTGCAGGGTTTTGGGTCACAGGAGGACGTTAGTAAATGGACTCCTGTGACCCTAAAGAGAACTATGAGTTTGGCCATAGTTCTCTTTTAATCAGCATTTGAAATAGCTTAAAAACATTTTGACATCTATAGCACTGTTAAGCCCGTGACACACTGCATGCGAAGCGGTGCAAAGCAAAGCTGTCAGGCACGGAGGTTCACATGCAGTGTGTGAGCTGAGCGCGGACATGTGCAGAACTGCATCTTCAGCCAATCGGCTAGCACATAACAACCAAATGGACTTCACATCATGACAAGCAGGTTTATACACGTGAGCCCATTGGCTGAAGATTACATTTTTCATCTCAGCATGTTCAGCTATGCAAGCCAACATGCTGGAGCGAAGAAGACATGACACCCTGCACCCGAAGGTCTGCACACCGCTGCTTCGTGTGCAGTGTCACAGCCCTCACTACTATGTAACAAGCATGTTGGCATACATGATATGCAGAGGTTTGCTGCAGATCCATTGAGTGGGGATGACAGGTCATACTGGATGCAGACTTTGTTTTGGGATGTTGTCATACTGAGTGACAGTGATTTAAACATTTTGCTGCCTACCCACTAAATAGTGCATTGATCATTTATAGATCTTCCAAGTACAGGGATGACTGCCATTCACAGAAATCTCCATTCTCCTTGGTGTATGTTTACATCATGGCATCCCAGGTTTAAACACGGCTTACATGCAAGTCCGGATTCGTAACCATACGATGTTTACAGGAAACAGATAAGCTGGCTCCATCAGATGGGTGAACCACAAGGCTCAGCGTGGCCTCCGCGTCACGTGACGCTTACTTCTACTACGCTCTTCCCAACCTGCTACATCTTACATAAGCAAGCGGACCTGTTATGGTCAGCACCCAGCACTGCCTGTGGCCTCTCCCCGAAACGAGTACCGTCCTTACCCTTCACATCTTTGTCCGGGCCGTTCCTGCTTCCCCTGGCCCCGGCCGGTAGCCTCACTACTCTACACGCCATCCTCCTGGCCGGAGAATGACGAACAAGCCCGGCTACTGTACACTGCAGCCGACCAACCAGCCTCATAGGACTCAGCTTCCCAGGCAACCACGTGTGCGCTACACTTCCGGGTCTATCAGCGCGCGCCGGTGTGGATGACGTCCTGTCAGCTCTCCTCTGGCTTTGGGGGAGGAGCCGAACTGTCAGTCAGGCTGTAATGCAGAAAGCTGTGTGGAGCATAGGATGGATATTTTATTAAAGTGGACTTACCATTGTATATAATCATCATGTGAAGTGCATGTATGTTCGGTGATTTGTAACTGTAACACTTACAGGCATTTATTATCTCTCACAAACCCACCCAACAATGCCTCCATCCTCAGTTACCTTCCGAAGGGTAGAGCCATCTTTGTTTAGGCATGAGCCAGGGTCACCAATGCACCCCTTCACCTAGGCATACCTGGACCACGTCATATTTTGTTTTTTTCCTGTGTGTCCTTCCAACTCAGATCAATGGGTGCCACATGCACAACAAACAGCAGATTCCGCTACCGGTGTCTCACATTTTATTCAGCACAGGAAAAACACACATTTTCCCAGCTGCATTTGGGGTGCCATTAACAAGTAATGGCACAGCAAGCATGTTTTTGACTCGTAAATGCACATCAAAATGTGTGTGTGGCGCTCAATTACAGCATGTGAACAAGGATGATATTGAGTTCGGAACAAACCTAAGTCCATCCTAAAATGGTAGGAAGCCATTGACATACACTCAATCAGCTGTGGCTGGGTCATTCCCCACCCCATGAGGCCATATAAAGTTAATGACATCGCCAGCATTCCACCCCTTTGTTTATATGTAGAATGCCCCAGCCGCTTTGGCGTGCACAGAGCGCGTCCTTCCAGAGCCAGTCTGAACCTGAGCTCATCTCTAGTAACTATCTACTAGACATGTGCGATTCATTTTGTTCCGATTTAAAATTCGTCCGTATTTTACAAAATTTGGACGCATCCAAATTCCCGAATTCCAATGCATCTGAATGTGTCTAAATCCGAATTTCCGTTTCCGAATTTCGGATCCTGTCCGAATTTCGTTCAAGAACGAAACTGTATCGCACATTTGACTATTCTGGCCAATCAGATGTGTTTTTCGGTTTAATGCATCCGAATGGGTCTGAACACAAATTTTCATTACAGCAAAATGGGAGTCATATACAGTACGTACATATAAAACTAAAGCTGAAGCTCCCAGACCTGAATGGCATTCGGGATCTGAATTTCCAAATTGCATTCAAGAGCTCCCCAATGCCATTCATGTCGGGGAGCCTCAGCTTTAGTAATATATGTATATGGCTCCCAGACCCGAATGGCATTGGGGAGCTCCTGAATGCAATTTGGAAATTCAGATCCCGAATACCATTCGGGTCAAGGAGATTCAGCTTTAGTATTAATATCTGTATATGGTTTTCTGTGGTATTCACAACGAATATTCATAAACTCATCTGCAACTAATAAAAATTCAGATTTCGTCCGAATCCGAAACCCGAACCAAATTGAATTTCGGATCCTAATCCCGAAAAATCCAAACCAAACTTTTCCTCAGCTTACATGTTTACTATCTACTTCTTAGATTGACAGGCTGGCTCATGTAAAGTGGAACTAAAGAAGAAAATCATTATTATACAGAATTTATACAGTGGCAACACGTTACAAGATAATGAGAGACGGTGTAGATACAATAAAATTTAATACAAGAAGATTACATGGGACCTCCTGATAAGAGCTTACAATGTATTGAACGGATTTTTTTCTAAAAAAAACCCCAAAGAATCCTCTTGACCACGCAAAAGGTACTTCTTTAGTGGTAATCCATTGGCTGTAGCAGATCTCCACAGGGCCCAGAAGAATCAGTGAGGTTCATGATGGTGATATCAGATAGAGTGGCAATAGGAACTGCGACCTGTCACTGCTGGAGATGTGAAACCACACATAAGTGGTAATAGTAGCGTTGGTTGACAAATCTATACCTCCTGATTTCTTCACAACAGATAGGAACGCTAACAATGTCTCTCAGGTTCAAAGAGGCCTGTAACAAATTCTGACACAAAACTCCCTGGAAGTGAAGGCCCTGGTGGGTCCCCGAACCCCAAGAGCTTGCATCTGTTGTGAACCTTACTGTGGACTGCTGAACCCAACATATGCCCTTTGCTAACTTCACCAGATCTAGCCACTAATTCAGGGCTTGGAGACCCTCCAAAGGGAGACGGACTCTTAAAGCCAATGTGTCTTTCTGTGACTTCCTTTGAGACAGTGGAAATATTTGCAGGGTTCTCAAGTGAAGTTAAGCCCAAGTAGGGACCAGAATTGAGGACATCATTAATTCCAGAAGCCTCACAATCTCTTCAAGAGAGAGCAAACCTGCTGAAAGCACCTTCTGAGCAAGACTTAAAATGTATAAAATCTTTTCATCTGGCAGAACCACCTTCTGAGCTACTTAATGGATTTGGTAGCACAAGATCCTGGACGGTGCAGACATTAAAGAGGATTTTTTTTTTCTTCAATTACCAGCTATGTCAGACTTTCTATGGTGCACCTGACCCCCTGTTGACCCCCTGTAGACCCCCGTGACCTGTACATGTGATCCAAATGGGCAATACATACATTTTTGTTTTAATATGAATGTAAGACATTAATCGCTGCCAAGGCTGTGTTGAACATTTTCAGGGCTGCTGAGAGTCCAAAGTGCAAGGCATAGAACTGCCAATGTTAGACCCTCTGTGCTGTCTGAATCATGTGCAAAGATATGGATGTGGAAGTACATATCCTGCAAGTCCTGGGTGACTACAAACTACAGATGCACCGAAATTTCGTCTAAAAATGGTACGTTGGGCCAAATGCCAAAAGTAAAATTTTGGGGCCAAAAATACAGTGCACCTCCAGTTTGTTCTCATCATCCCCTCTGACACAGAGCAGCACCCAGCAGGAAGGAGAGAAACTGTAAGAAGGCCGAGCGGGGCGGGGAGGAGAGCACTATCAGGTGTCAAAAGAGGCGGAGCTCTCCTCCGGCACTGCCCCGTTCAGCCTCATGTAACAAGGAAGTCAGGATGGAGAGTGGTTCAGGAAGGAGACAGCTGTCACAGGAGGCTGAGCCATTAGTGCAGGGGAGGAGTCAACACTCAGCCATGTCACAGGAGGCTGAGCTCTCCTCCCCTTGCCTCCCACTCAGCCTCCTGTAACAGCCAGTTAGGATGGAGAGCGGTATACAAACACTCAAGGATCACTGAGTGTTTGTAAATAATTGAGGACCTAGTATGCTTACTGTGTCCCCAAATATGAATGAATAGGAAGTGCTATGCATCACTTCCTGCTCATTCATGATTGTGGCCATAGTATCTCATACTAAATCCAGTTTATTAATAGACAGGAACACTCTGTATAGAGGTTTCCTGTTCATTCATAACAGGAGTTGCAGAATAAGAGATTGTGTCCTCAATCTATGTTTCTATTTTAAAAGAGAAATATCAGAGGTCTATATGACTCCTGGTATTTCCTCATTTTTTTTTAAAAAGGTTATAAAAAAAAAAAAAAAAAGATATTTTCGGTTTTGGTTTCAGTCTGAAAATTCCATTTTGCTGCACCTTTACTACAAACACATCTTTGAAAAGGATTTTGCACACTGAATAAATGCTTTTCATCTTGACCTTTTTTTCCACTAAGAACTTGTTTTAGCTTTTTTAAGTTTAAGATCATAAAGGCTTCTAAAACACAAAACCATGAGAATAAAATTCCTGAAAGAACAGTTTTTTTTAGAACAGGAACAAATACTTTTTGTGAGGCCAAAGTCCTGATGCACTTTCCAGAGCTGTCACATGTATTGGTTTTGGTTAGGGAAAAAGTTTGAGGGCAAAAAGAGAAAAAAGTCCAGTAGATATTCCTCCCTTCCAGCCCCAGATGTATAGGTCGTCTAAAACCCTTTCGCACTGGTGACAAAATTGGGAACCGTTTTCCCCTACCTCCCTTTTGGCATCATTTAGGGTCTTCATTGGCGGATTCTTGAGCAGTAAAGAGCAAGCCTCCCTTAACCCTTTCGCTGCCAAGGACGTACGTCGTACGGAGCTACAAAAGTGCTTCCAGCTGGCCAGCTCAGTACGTCGTACGGACCTGGCATTTACAGTTCTACTATAAGCTGATGGTCGCTTTAGCGACAGTAGAACTGTTCAGCAGACTGTCCCCTTTAAATTAATAGCTGTCATCAGCGGCTCACAAGCCGCTGATGACCGCTAATTTTAAAAATTTTGGTGATCCATTAACGGGAGGATGCTAGTTTGTGTCCTCCCGTTACCCTAGGGAGAACTAAGGGGAAAAACACTGACCCCATAGTTCTCCTTTAATGCCACTTTAAGCTTCAACTTGGTAAAGGGCCATTTCCTCTTTCGCTCCTGAGACCTATTGCTTTGTTTGCCTTTAATCCTGCGAGTCACAAAAAAACCCTTATATTTAAGACTCATTTCTTCTTCTCGGGGGACTTTTACTCCTTTCAGGTGATCTGGATAGAACATCATTCAACCCGGAATCAAAGGGGTAAATAACCCTCGAAGGGGCAATCCACATTGCTTTGGGTTTTATTTGAAGCTAAAGTTCCACTTCAACCACTTGAAGGCCAGGGTGTGAAACCCCCTTCCTGTCCAGGCCATTTTTCAGTATTTAGCACTGATTTTATATCACCCCACAGGATATAACTAAAGCCGTATGAAGTGATCTGATTTCATCTATTTCCAACTAAGGAGAGTGTCCGAGTTCAACGCCCTCATCTGCCGCAGCGGATGGCTGTCACTAACACAGCTCTGCAGAGGCTATGAGGGGAAATGCGCCATGGCTGCTGCTGAACTGTCTGTGACAGCCAGCACCCCCACATGCCATAGCGACCCAGGCAGCCCTGGCCGGGCCGGGCCCCCCTGTGCCCGGGCCCATAGCGGCCGCCTGGGTCGCTATGGTGTTATTTACACCACTGACAGCCATAATTGGCCATAGGTGACGCTTTAAAAGCTTTCATTGCTCATCAGTTTAGTGTTATTAGTGATTGATGGCCCCAGAATGATTGCTCTCACTGCAACATTCACAGTGATATGCAACATGTGTAACACAATAGGTGCAATCGTCATTTCCACACATAGGTGCACCCGACCCATGTTTGGGTGTGTATGTGGGGACAGGGGACTTTAAACTTTTATTGTGTTTAATGTGATTTGAATTTTTTTAATTTTACACTTTATTGCCATCACATAGGGGGCTAAGAACTAAGAAGTGACAGGTCCTCTTTATGGAGACATCAGGGGTCTGGAAGACCCCTATTGTCACCTAGGGACCCCCTGAGAAGCTGATTCACCAGCTTCTCCCTGGCTCCTGTAGCCGGGAATGACAGCTGAATACAGAAGTGATGCAATATACATCAACTTCCTGCATTGTGACAACGGAGAGGAGATCAGAGGGAGATCTCCAGTGACAGAGTCACCATGGGGTGTCTCTACAAATGCCAGACCGCTTGAATGTAAACAGCCATCACTGTCATTTATGGAGAGCAGTACACAGTCAGAATAAAGAATTTAGGTGGACTTGTAGTCCTGAAGTCTTTGCTCCGATCTGGCTTGTTTGTTAAATATTCTTTAAAACAACAAATGCAAGCAAATAATGAGAACACCTTTTAGTACATGTATGTAATCCCTTCAAAAGGTTAAATCATTTTACAGTTGAGTTATGAAAACACAAGCTTTGATCTCATCTACTGTATGCCTACACTGGTTCAAAGTTTAGAAGCCAAAGCACAAGGTTAATAGCCAAATAACAATTTCTAAAGGACGACAGCATCATTTGCCTACTGGAATTGGAACATGACCAAATTTGGACTTGCAGTCCTTGGTGATCTCGCAGGCATGCTGGGACTTCTGTTCCATGGAGACCACAAGTACACTGGGACCCGAGTGCAGATCCTGCTTAAACTTGTAGCTCCTGGTGACCTCACAGCACGCTGGGACTTATGTTCCTCTGGAGACCATAAGTATACTGGGACCTGATATCAGCCTTAGCGGCGCCCAAATATCGGTATTGGTTCTGAAAAAATTATATTAGTCGATCCCTAGTCAGAAGTAAGTGATGCAGAGCGCAGGAGTCAAGCGTACATGATAAGTAACACATAGGGTGCAGTGGTCAGGAGTACATGACACACACTTTACTAGTATCTGTGCATCCCTAATAGTGATAAATCGGTATTGGTGCAGATGCCAAGTACTTGGCCGAGTACTCACTCTCCCAAATGCTCCGATACCTACCTCCAATACTGGAACTTCCAGTCAGAGGGAGATCTGGAGCATGGAGCCGACTTCCTTTCCAAATCAGGAATCCGGGGAGGTGGGTCATAACCCACCGCCCGGCTTCACGATTGGTTAGGAAGTCAGGCTGCTTAGCAATAAGTGAAGCCAGCTTCCTAGCCAATCAGTTATTGGTTGATTTCCTAACCAATCAACCAATGACTGGTCAGGAAGCCAGGCAGCCTTGGCAATTGAAGCAGGTGTTCTTTCAATAGAACATCGGCTTCCCAGGCAATCAGGATCCTGGCGCAGGTCAGGATCCTCTGCCCGACTTCCTGATAATCAGAGCACACGGCACTGGTATCAGTACCCGTTCTCTATTACGAAAAAACTATATTGGGGAATCCCTAATCACTATCACTTTAAATTTAGTCCTTTCTTTGCACAATGGAAAATGTGTATCGCTTTACCACGTATTCAAATCATACTTTTAAACCTAGTCTTTATATTATCAATTTTAAAAACTGATTCTTAACCCAAAAACAAACATGTCAAAAATTGCAGCATACTGACCCTTAGATGAGGTGGCTGCATTCATTTTCTTTTTCAGTATTTTTTTTCCTGTATTTTCTCCTGATGTTCCTGCAAATAATACACTAGGGCAGCTATGCTCACTCGCCCACTGTATCTATGGAGGAAGCCATGGCTATCAACCATATTGCTATCTTGATTTTGTCTACAAACACCTCTTCCTCTTTTCATTTCTAATACGTGGAGGAAAGAGTTTACAGAAAACAGCTCGGAAGAAAGAAAAAGCATTGTTTGTGCTTTCAGCTCAATTCATAGGAAGTGGCAGAACACTGTATGCACCTCCGGGAACATCAGCTGCCTGGATTTGCATAGATTTGAGTATATAGCTGCCGCCTGCCACCGATTTGTACAGGCTGACTGGCAGTGGCTGTACATTGCACCTGTTACTCCCAGCAAAGAAAATATGGCTATATTGTACGCTATATGCCCATTTACTGCAGTGTACATGACCACTTAAAAGGAGAACTATGAGGTGAGTGCTTTTCACTCACCTCATAGTTCTAGCCGACCTGTGACAAGGAGACTGTCACAGGTTGGCTCAGTAGATCGGGAGGGGAGCGAACACATACCGGCGTTCGCTCACCTCTCGGTCCTGTCACGGCTCTCTGCTGCGACAGGGGAGGGGCTGGATTCCCTCCTCCCCGCTCCGCCAGCGCTGACTGGCTGAACGGATGGGGGAGGGGGCGTGTACAGCTGGCTCTGCCTCTAGATAGGCAGAGCCAGCTGTCAGTCACGCAGCTGGTCGGATCCTGGCACAATTGTCGGGATCCGCTTCAGCTGCGGCGTCTCAGTATACCGCGATCTACAGCTCGCGCTATACTGCGGCGTCTGTTAGCTCGCGGTATACTGAGCCTAGGGTGACGGGAGGACACTAGTTTGTGTCCTCCCGTTACCCTAAGGAGAACTATGGGGAAAAGCCTTAACCCCATAGTTCTCCTTTAATGCAAAACCACAGTGTGGACATTTTATTCAGGAGGCTTAATTCAAAAAGCTTAAAACACCAATATAAAAATACCTATTTTCAAAAAAAAAAAAAAAAAA